GATTTAGGGGTGGGGGCGGAGGGGGAGGGGCGTGGCTCCCCAAACCCCCCTTAAACGAAAGAGGATGAACGCCGCTTTATGAAAAGTCACCGCTTACCCCCCTCCTCGTTTTTCGGTAATAAATTAGTGAGCCAAAGAGATATTTGAGAAAATTAAAGATTTTTCTAATAGATTCNTTTACAGCTCAGCTCGGAAACTTGCAAAAAATACCATATTTCCAACCGACATTATTAATAAATTAGTGCACAGATATAGTAAATTTTATTTTTGTAATAAAGCGTGAGCTGTTGTCTACAAGTGTGTGTAAAAGGTTTTTGATTTGATTCACGCGTTTGGGCACAGCAACCCAAAATCGTTGTACAAATTCATAAAGAGTACCCAAGTCCACCTCTTGTATAAAAACAAAACTATGGATTATTTTATTCTAATTTTTGTATTACTTACTTTGTATGAACCATTTAATGCCCTGTTGCATTTCCTCAATTATCTCCTTGGAAGTGTACATAACTTCATTTTGTACGGCCTGATTAAAGTTTGCTGCATCGAAAACGGCTGAATACAGGGAATTTCGGTCGTGATTAAGCGCACGTTGCGGAAATTTCGCCAGTGTCTGTGCCAACTCTACGGATTTAATTAATGACTGACCGGGCGGCACGACACGGTTCACAACACCCATCGAAAGTGCTTCATCGGCGCACACCTGTCGTCCCGTCAATATCAAATCTAATGCCCGTGAAAATCCAATTATTGCAGGTAGCCGAGCTGTACCACCATCAATAACAGGCACTCCAAAACGTCGATTGAAGAATCCCAGTACTGCCGTTTCTTCCATTACGCGCAAATCACACATTAGTGCCAGTTCTAAGCCATTTGCGATACAATAACCACTAATTCCGCAAACTACCGGCTTTTGTATGTGTCGCCGTGTCGGTCCGACCGACCCTTCATGGGCCATTAGGATGTCGATGCTAACCTGTTCTCCGCCATCTTTTCCAAGCTCTAGGATATCATAGCCAGCACAAAAGGATCCACCAATGCCGTACAAAACTGCTACAGGTGATGTTTCATCAGCCTCAAATGCAGTGAACGCTTCACAAAGTTGGTTTGCAGTAGCTGCATTAATTGCATTTCGAACTTGTGGCCGATTTATACCAATTAAAGTGACATTTTTGTCTTTGTCGACAATAATATTCTTCGGACTTTGTAGATCTAAAACACAAATAATAGCGTAAAAACTATGTAATCTTATGTCATTCGCAAATATAGGTGGCATACCTTTTTCACTTTTTCGCAGACAAGCTGTCGTACAAAGATTTCTTGCGCCAACATTTTGAGCGTCAGATGAAATAGCCACTAATATGCTCCTTTTGTTTATGTGCTGTATTAGCTTTCGTAGCATAACTCCAATTATTTAAATAAAAACTATGAAAGGAGCACAATATCCAACTTGCCGTTTGTAAAATAATGGATTACTAGTGCCGATTAGTATTGGCAAACTATCGATGGCACTGTCAGTACTATCGATGGTTTTGACTTATTTTTCACTATGGATAGTTTTTCAAAACGATCGAGTATTTTCACTATCGAAAATTTTCCAAACTTGATGGGGCTTTCGCCCATTGGGCCCTGTCTCACGGTCAGTAATTATCACGATATTTGGATCGCGATCCAAATTGATGGATTGATGGATCGCGCACGAATGCTACATTATCAATATTTATCGCGTCAGTATTTGCATATTTTTTGTGCTGAACGCTTATTATGATGCAAGAAAATATTTTTATTTTGTATGAATAATTTGGAGATAATGCATTCCACCATTATTTTAAAATTTCCCATGTTAATTCAAATTTTTTCAACTTGTTTTGAAAGGTTTTAAGGAACGAGAACGAAAGCATATCGAATACGTTTTCGATGTTCGCATTATGAGAGTACAAGATGTACTGACGAAATGTATGGATCGCGTTTTGAAAGTGCTACACGCTCAATATTTATTGACAATATCGCGGTCCGCGATCCAGATTTCAAAATTATTAGAAATTTTGCGATATGGATCACGATCCATCAATACTGCATACTACACCGTCAATAAATATCGCGATACTTGGATCACGTCAATAAATACTGACCGTGTGACAGTGCCCAATAAACAATAAACAAAAGCAAAGAACAAGAAACAGAGATGCAAAGTGAATCAAGAACGTGGCGTGTAAACGGTTAATTCGCCGTTTGTAATTGAGAGAGTGACCGCGTGATTCGGTTGGCGTGGAAACGCCGATTTATATTTTTAATATTTGGCGACTATCGATAGTTTAAGAAAAATATCGCCCACTATCGATAATTTGCCACCACTAGGGCCTATAGGTATCGACTTTGTTGTACTCATTTTTTACGAATCAGCTGTTTGTAAAATAGCATAATGCCGCGTCAGAATGGGTAGTTTACGCACGTTCCGCTCATAGGGCTTTCGCAAGAAGCAATTTTTCAGGCAACTTTTACGTTCAGCTCACGCAGGGTTGCACGAAAAAAAATTGATTGGCTAAAAATATCAAAATATTCGCCATTAAAGGCGTTTGCATTGTTTAACTTTGCATTCTACTTTTGGTTGGACGGCCTTTCAACTAATCGCTTTCAACAAAGTTGGTCGCCAGCCAACATTTAGCCATTAAACTTTTTTTTCGCGCAACCCTGCGTGAGTTGTAAGCAAAAGTTGAACGCAAAATCGCCTCTTTCGAACACCTTCTCAAGGATGAAACTGACAGTTGAGTAGACTGAGCGANTTGTCAGTTGGCAATGCAACTAGAAAGAAAATTTGTATTACGAATGGCAACTATCGTCAGTTGCTGTAGAGTTATCGATAATCGAAATTTGACAGTTCAACAACCTGCAAGCGGCTGCAAACAAGCTATGCGAGTAAAATTAAATTATTAAAATAAAGAGTTTTAAAGAAAAGACAGAA